TAAGTACAAAAAGAAACCCTATTTTTGTGGAAACTTGGAAACTCAGAGAAATATAAAGAAGAAATTTAAAATCATCTTTGATCCCCTTATACAGAGATTGTACTATTTTGATTTATTTTTTTATAGTCTTTTAGTGTATGTGTATGCAGTGATATACAAATCCATATACTAATTTAAAAACCTTTAAAATTAAGTCAACATAACGATAGATAGTTTTGTAGCCTCTATTTTAGACTTAATATTATATTACCATTAACGTATTGTAATAGTTTCCACTTTTTTCCAGTTTTATTGAGAAATAATTGACATATCTCAATGTATAAGTCTAAGGTGCACAGCATGATGGTGGTTTGATTTACAGGTATTGTGAAATGATTACCACAGTAGATTCAGCTAGCATCTATCTTGTCATACAGATACAATATAAAGAAAGAAAGAAAGAAAGAAGAATTTCTCCTTGTGATGAGAGCTCTTAGGATTTACTCTCTTAACAACTTTCCTATATATCATATGGCAGTGGTAGCTATCATCATCACGTTGTACATTACATCCTTAGTAGTGACTCATCTTAATAACAGCTGGAAGTTTGTACCTTTCACCACCTTCCTCCAATTCCCCACCCACCCCCTTCGCCTCTGGTAACCACAAGTCTGATTATTTTTTCTAAGAGTTTATTTGTTTGTTTGTTTTTAGATTCCACTTATAAGTGAGATCATACAGTATTTGTCTTTCTCTGACTTATTTCACTTGGCATAATACCATCAAGGTCCATTCATGTTGTCACAAATAGTAGGATTTCCTCAATTTTTATGGCTGAATAATATCCCCTTGTACATATATCCCACAATTTCTTTATCCATTCATCCATCAATGGATGCCTAGGTTTTTTTCCCATGTGTTGCCTATTATAAATAATGCTGCTATGAACATGGTGGTAGAAATATCTTTTCAAGTTAGTGTTTTTGTTTCCTTTGGATAGCTTCCCAGAAGTGGAATTGCTTGATAATTTCCACTTTTTTACTTTAAAAACAATCAATGTGATAAATGTATTTATACATAAATCTTCCTAGGGTAGGTAATTTCAACAGCTTTAAGGCTTTTGATGTAGATTGTCAAAAAGCTTCCTCAACTGATTTTCTGAACTGATTTTCATTATTAATTTATAATAATTCTTATTTTACTTAAACTGCACTAAAATTTACTTTATAAAAATAAAAAGAAAATATTTTCCTATTTAATAAGAGAAAATTATTGTCATTAGTTTTATTGTAATAAGGACAAGCATTTTTATAGAAGTATTCTTTTAAAATTTTATAAATTTATTAAATTGAAAGGATGAACTATTAGTAGTTTGTTTAAATGTAAAAAAATTAAAAATATGTAATATTTTATTTTAGCAACTTCTGTAAAACTTTGTATTTTAAGGGGAGTTTTGCCGATGTGTAAAGGGGAGAAAAAAATCTGTCTGGATATTAAGTAAAGTTCAGTGATTTGGCAACAATTGTATAAAATTTAAAAATTTGTCATTGAATCTGAAACACTAACATCTAACTAGCTGATACATGAAATTTACATTATAAAACATTCTGTTTTAAGAACTGGGGAATCAATGTATTGAAGATTTAAAGACTATTTTTTAAAAAAAATGTTTTTATATTTACTGGGGTGACATTGGTTAGTAAAATTATGTTTCAAGTGTGCAGTTCTATAATACATCATCTATATATTGCATTGTGTGTTCACCACCTAGAGTCAGTTCTCCTTCCATCACCATATTTTTTACCCCCTTTACCTTTTTTTACGCCTCCCTCCCCCTGACCCTCTGGTAACCACTAAACTGTTTTCTGTGTCTATTACGATTTTGGTTTGCCTTTTTTGTTTGTTGCTTTCAGTTTTATATCCTACATATGAGTGAAGTCATATGGTTCTTCACTTTTTTCTGTCTGACTTTTTTCATTTAGCATGATAATCTCAAGATCCATCTATGCTGTCACAAATGGCAGTGTTTCATCTTTTCTTATGGCCGAGTAATATTCCATTGTGTATATGTACCACGTCTTCTTTATCCAATCACCTATTGAAGGACACTTTGTTTGTTTCCATGTTTTGGCCCATGTGAATAATGCTGCAATGAATATAGGGGTACATATATGTTTTCATAGGGGATAAATGTTTTCAGATTTTGGAGGTAGATACCCAGAAGAGAGATTGCTGGCTATTGTTTTTAATGTAAGAATTGTGGAAACACTGAATTTGTTACCATTTAAGTTGAAATTAACGATTTCACTTAAAAAAACGAACCTCATCTATGGAATATAAAAAGGTAAAGCTCTGTATAGCAATCTCAAGAAATATTGACACTAATACCTAATATTTGCATTATCTCTTTGGCTTTCCCCTTTTAGGATATCCAGGCGGAAATTGATGCTCACAATGACATATTTAAAAGTATTGATGGAAACAGGCAGAAGATGGTAAAAGCTTTGGGAAATTCTGAAGAGGCTACTATGCTTCAGCATCGACTGGATGACATGAACCAAAGATGGAATGACTTAAAAGCAAAATCTGCTAGCATCAGGTTAGAACAGTCAATATTAAAATAAAACTAATGAAGAAGGGGAGTTTTGTGATTCATGTATATTATAAAGAGAACAAGAAGCCTTACCACCATGCTACTTCCTCAGAAATACTTTGAGATTTAAATTCAAAGACTATTTTTTTGAAGTTCTAGTTTTAGGTCCACTTATGTCCGGTGTCCTCTTGTCAACTGTTTCTGATTATTCACAAATTTGCACGTTGTATTTTAAACCTAATAGTACTCATAACGATAATGTTACCAACACCAAGGTCAAGGTAATTACTGTTTACCTTGACCAAGTGCTGTGTTAGGATCTTTACAAACATGACTTTATTTAGTACTCAAAAATACCCGAGTCAGGTAAATAGTAAAATCCTTTCTTAATTAGAGGAAACAGAGGCTTAATGAACAATAAGGTACTTGCCAACTTTTTGAGCTAACATGTGGCATGCCAGGATTTGAATCTAGATCTTTTGGACTCTTGGCAATGAACAGGTTTTGCCTCATCATGATACGTGTATAGCCAATTTGAAGATGTATTTATAGAAATTAGATATTGCTGATGGACACTAATGTGGAGTACTGATGGAGTCATATATCCATTTGGAGAGATTAAAGTTAAATAAGGATAAACCTGGGGACCAGAATGCTGACTTGGAAAGGACCTTGGAACATTCCCTATTGTGCAAATTATTAATGTTATTGGGAGTCAAGAATATTTTAGAATTATGCATAGTAGAGGGTGGCTGTAAGTTTAAAGGACACTGAAAACGTGTTCCTGAGCAAACATAAAAAGAGAATGCTGGGAAAAAGACCTAGACCTTGCACCAGGGTCAGTTTCTTTTAAAGTTCAGAAACCGTATGATGTATTGAAAAATGTATAACCTTAAACCAAATGATCTTAAATTTTACTAATTACTTACTGATCTTGGGCAAGTCACTTAGTCTGTCTGAGCCTTAGTTTTGTTTACAAAATCAAAATATAAATATTTAATCCGTATGATTGCTGTGAAGATTGAATGGGATAATCTGATAGTTCCTTAACCTATGTAAAGCCTGTCCATTGTAGCATCTAGTTGTTTTTGTTTGGTTTTGTTTTGATTACATAAAAGGACTCAGTGGATCTGCTTCAGCGGGTTTCTGGATTTCATAGAATGGCTTTATAGAGACTAGAAATCTTCAGTGATTATTTATTGTGAATTAATTCTTTTTAATGTTTTCTGAAGAGATGTTGTGAAAGGTTTTTATTCTTCTGGGGCTCATAGAGGGAGATTTGCACTTCTTTTTACACTTAAAGAATGGGGTGACGTAGTGTGACTGTGGAGGCTTCTGTGTAAAGATCCCGTTGGAAATGATGTCAGCATCAGCCAACTACTCTTTTTTTAATAAGAGAGGAGAATTATGGAGTATTATACAGTGAGAAAATATACTTGTTTAAGATTGAATTTTTAACTGGCCAGATGCCATTGGGCTGCACCTTTCTGTTCCTCATAAATACAAATAAAGAAAAAGATGTAAATGTTAGCACAGTGAAAAACATTCACTGAGGTTCTAGCAAAACCAGCATCTGCTCTAATGAACTAAAAGCCATGGGGCTGGCCCTGGTAAAGACCGCATGGGGTGCTGGAATTTCGAGTTTGGAAGATGAGCTCTCTAGGTGAGTTTAGTGAAGGCCTGCATCATAAAATGATCATTTCGAATGGAAAGCTACAGACACAAAAATCTTTGGCATTTCATGGATGTTAGTGCCTAGCCTATCAAGTCACATTTTTTCTAACCTGGAAAGAAATAACTCGTAAACTACAATTGGAATATTTTCTTATAAATAACTTAATGTTATTTTTAGAAGATGGGAGAATAAATGTTTGCCGGTGGACTTCTGCATCACAATAGGTCATACATTCCAGTAAGATGTGATGTTAATGTGAAAATGAATTATTAGCTGAAAATAATTTTTGCTTCATTACCCACCTCCGGAGAGTCAGGCATATATTCAAGCATTTAATAAGTATTTCTGTGTTCAAAGCATTGCTAATCATAAATAAGAAATGGTCCCTCCCCCTAGGGGATTCACAGTTCTGTCTAAGTTAAGGTGGGCCCAGAGGAGGGAGTGGTTACTTTCATTTGAGCTGGTCATCAAAGGCTTCATCAAAGAGGCAGTTCCTAAATTGAACATTGAAAGACACATAGTTACTCCCCAGATGGACTGGGTGAGGACTGGAGAAGCATACCTAAGAAGGAGGCTTGAAATAACACAGTGTTTTCACGGAATAGTTAAGAAGTTCAGTCTGGCTGAGAATAGAATTTGCTGTTGGTGTGGAGGGGAAAGGTTGTGTCTAGAGAAAAAGGTAGAGAGAGAGGTAAGACCCAAATCCTGGGACGCCTGTGCACACTGTGCTCCATTCCACTGGTAATGGAATTTGAACACTTGTAGGTGACATGGTTAGATTGAGTTTGTCAAGATCCCTCCCACACAACTGTGAAGATGCATTAGATGAGCACAGCTCTGAAGATAGGGAGACCCCTGAAGAGACCCTTTCAGTTATCTAGGAAAGAAAAGAGAGACTGAACAGATACTTAGTTCATATTGTTGAGACCCTGGTGAGACATCCAAAAACAGATAACCAGTAGCCGTTGGATGGATGTCTACTCTTCCAAAGAGCTGTAGGCCAGATAGCTAGGGGGTGGGATGGGGAGTATCCAGATAGAGGAGCAGGGAAGCATTGTGGGTAGGCAGGAGGGTGAACAGTTAGAAGAGGGCACAGGACAGAATCCTGGGGAACCCTGACACGTAAGGAATGGGGGAAGGAAAGGGAAGCCGGCGGAGAAACCCGAGAAGTGGCTGTCCTCGAGGAGGAAGGAGACCCAGGAGAGTGTGTTGTCAAGAGCCAGGCGAGGAGGGGGTTCCAAAACGAGGGCGTCGTGAATAGTCTTGGCTGTTAGTGAGGTCAGATCAGGACTGCAGGTAAGAAGCCAGGAGCGCCTGGAAGGGCGTCGGGAACTTCTTGCAGGGCTCGTTTTGTGATTGAGGCAACAATCTGATTGCAGAGGACTGAAGAGCCCGAATGGGAAGAGAGGCCGTGGAAATAGAACTGAGTCTACATGGCCTCATATTCTCAAGTAAGAGCTATGAAGGGAAGGGGAGAGCGAGCATATTGTTATAACTGTATTATTACACACCACGGTGTCATCAGTAGTGTAGCAGCTGGAGGGCTACATCTATATTGGCCTTTCTATGCTTTCTAGAGATTAGATATGTTTAACTAAAGTGATGAGTGATATAGCCTGCATTTTGGTCTTCAGAAATGGGCAAAATAAATTGTATGAACATATTCATCATTCCTTAGTCATTTATAAAAAATAAAACAGTTTGTTATTGTCAGTAATGAGTTCGCATAGAGAGAAGTGGTAGAGGGTAGTGTGTCATCGTTGTGCTGTGGAGCTGGATTGCCTAGGTTCTAACGCTGGCCTTGTCACGTAGCAGCTGTGCCACTGCAGGCAGGCAACTTAGCCAGTCTGTGTTTCCTCAGATGGAAAATAGGGATAAAAAGAGCAGCTTTCTTATAGGCTTGTCATGAATGTTTCATTTTATTAGCCTTTATAAAGTGCCTATATAAAGCACTCAATAATTGTTAACTCTTTATTATTGGTATTCTCATTGATTACTAGTCTATTTGGCAGTAATTAGTTCAAAAGGCATAGAAATTCCTCCTACCCCATCTTTTTCTCTTAGTCACTAATAGTGGGGGTTTCTGAGAAGGTCCCCAACAAAGGGTATCCCTCTTTCCTGGCTGGATCCTGAACAAAATCCAAAACCAAGTATGTGACCAAGAGAGATCAGCAGAGGCGTGTGAGTTACTGACAGCAGCCAGGATGGAGGATGTAGCTGAAAGGGAGAGCTGCGTGGGGTTGTTAACCGAGCTCCAGATTTAGGCGGAATTAGCAGCAGTCACTGGTGAGGGTGGCCTCCCCAGTGGGAAACCCTACGTGAAAGAATAGAAAGAGCTGTCATCGCAGGCCTATTCTCAAAAGACGAGGGAAGGCTGAGCTAAGCACATCCAGTTATTCCCAGATTTACAAATCAGATCCTTTACTCCTCCTCCACAGGGATGGAGAGAGAAAGTGGGAGAAGAGGCCAGGAATGTGCTTAGTGAGAAAAATCCCTTCGCGAGGGAACTGTTCTCATTAACAGATATGCAGAGGCAGCCTGTCTCCCAGCCACCGTTTTTCTTCAGTCCTTCCTGGAAATGATGCCTGTTGAGCACAGCGAGTTCCTGCTCTTCTGCCCTTTCCTCTCGTTCTTTTAAAGCACAGTCTCCCTTTACAACTGGCTTCCATTGTGAACACATTCTCCTGTGTCTTTAATATTAATTTCTGTAAGCTCTCCCACCACTTTTATTTATAATCGAAAGCTGGCTTTCCCCCTAATTGCCTGCTTTATTTAAAAGCACTCATTAATAGAGTTTAATTTGCACATTTTCCTCACCTGGCAGCCAATGGGAATATTCTGCACATTTAACAACGGCTCTGGGTACCAAACTGTCAGAATGCCAGCCATACACTTTCAGTGTCGCACCCGCAGACACACTGGCTGAACAGGAACCCCGCCTCACAGGGAAAGGTGGCAGCCTCTTCGCTGTTTCTAAAGCATTGCTTCACCATCTGTCAACAACTTCCCTTAGAAGTGAATACATCCATTGCTCTACCGTCTCACCGTCTTATTTCCATGCCCTCCTGATCTGTAGGCCACCCTTCTACTTTATCCATTGATTTGAGCATCTGACCTCCCTTTTATTCTCCATCTTTTCCTCAGCTGTCATTCTTGATGTTGATATCCATACTATCACTTTTTCTATTTTGAACTCATAGTTTCTTTTTACTTTATCTGCAAAGGCTTTTGTCCCTTTTCTGCTTCTAAGGCCGATGGATCTGGCCATACCTGCGACTCAGTTAATGCCCCGTGTCATTCTGGCATCGCTGAGGTGGTCGATCTCCAGGAG